AAATGTGTACTTGCAAGATGGAAGACGGAATCTGACAAAGCTTTGTTCACGTGCTGCCACATATAAATCCAAGAACTGTGTATTCGGGTAAGTAGTGAAATACTGAACCAATACGACGTATTTTCCAGACCTCGGAAACTTCTTTTTAATGTTCATTCGACTCTGAAAAGAAAAAGATAGGACTATTAATTGCGCGAGAAAATTAGTGTCAGCCACTGTTTACTCTCTCTCTTTCTCTTCTTATTCGCTTGAATGATGTGATCGTCTGAAGAATCTGAGTCTTAGCGACCCGAATTTTTTCAACTAGCGACTAGATATTCGCCAAGGTAGCCCTCGTGCAGATATTGCACAGCACACTCCCTATCAGGGTTTTGCAGTGACTGGTTACATTGTGAATAGATAGATAGACAGAACCGGAACTGGCGTGAAGCACACCGAGGTAGACAAATGGCGCTTTAAGCAGCCGCTATTAGTCCATACCTCATTAATGATCTGCCCCCTGACCTATGTGTTTAACCCACCCTGTCAACTTTCCCTGTGGGAGGAAACACGGAGTACCCGGAGAAAACCCAAGACTTTCGGCAGAGCGTTGACTTTTACTCTTTTCACATGAGGACTGGGTTTGAGTCACATTCAGAAAGTTCCTCACTGACAATCGGGACCTAAACCCGGTTTTCCACTAGCGAATTTCCGGTTTTCCCCTAGCGATCGGCATCTATTTTGCCACGTCTTGCTGACGTAATAAATTATACCGACAAAGGAAAAAGGTCGCTTCGCGCGAAAAAATACGCTAGTGGAAAACCGGCTTAAGATGTGAAGGTCAAGTGTTCTAACCACTTCGTGGCGACTGAGAAAACAATTAAAATTATCTTAGGTGGCTTCCTACAGTTGTTTAAGCATGTCCAATTTTATCACGTCAGCAAAAATTTCATTTGACCGCGCTTTCAATTTTTCTGAGATTTTGTATTTTAGAAGTACTAGTGATTTATTCCAATATACTCAATTTTCAAAATATTCTATACTGTAAAACAGTTTTTGTGGAACAAATTCCGCGTAATATAATATCTCAAAAACTGAATTTATAACACCCCCGCCCTATCTTTTCATATAATCTTCTACTGGATATTCCCTCTCAAACCTACAAAATTTCAGAAACTTTGAACGAAGGAAATTTTAATAAATTCATTTGTAGTCCAAAATTTGATCTTTGTCTGTTGTCACTTAGGCCACATTGTTACAGGCCTTAAAATATCGGTCGGTCACGGACATTGTCCGACCCATTCGTGAAATTGTCCGACGTAGAAAGAAAACCACCGGATATTCTGTCCGACGTAAGTGAAACTGAGGTTTATTGTTTGTCCGACCTGAGTGTATTTGTGTTCGACCGAACTGTAGCTTTGTTCAACGTAAATCAAAATGTACCCTAGCCCAGGACTAGAGGCTTGTATGTTAAATGGAAATTCAGAGTACTATTGTATAAAAGGTGAACTGGAAGTGTTGTTTTAACGTAGTCAAGCGCGGGGAGGCGAGCGAAGGGGATAAGTATGAAAGGAAAAAAAAGTTAAAATTTCTTCACAACATTTACAGTACAGAATTAATACATTGTGCTGATATTCATTTGTGTCATTCAGACTTATTTCCGAGTCAAAACTGAACTGAAGGTCATCGGACATATGTCCGACCCAAACTCAATGTCATCGGACATTTTGTCAGACGGCCCTGTGAAAGATATTTTAAGGGCTGATTGTTACCATAGCAACATAGAAAAGTATCAAGATTACGCAAACGTTTCTACTCCCAAAAAATCCCCATTTCACATAAATAGCAAATATTTTGCGTCATTGTGAAGACCTTATATTTCGCTGCTGTTTCTTTACAACTGTAGGGAGCCACCTTAAGTAATTCAAAAACCTTAAAATATCTCAATATCTCATTTTGCTTTTGCAGATAATTCACCAAATTACTAAAAAAATGTTGTATTGTTTATGTCATCAATATACAAAGGGAATACTTCATAACACAAAAACTACTTATTGTTAGATTTATGTTAATGTTATTCACGAACATGTTCAATATCGAAAATACCGAACGTAAATCGATATTTTTAAAAATGCAATGCTGAATATTCGATATTTTAGGAAAGCCGATAATTATCGATATATCGATCATACCTGATTTCTGTTTAACAACGCCAATGCAGAAAAATCGAGTTGCTTGAGTATCTTCGCATCTGAAAACACTTGGGTTGACTTGATCTTTTGGGCAACTCTGTCATATGTATATCCCTCTTCAGCGCGGATCCTGAAAAAGTCAGGTTTACTTACTCCTACGTAAGAATATTGAACACATAGATCCTCCAGCTTGTTCTCTCCATTCACTTCACAAGCACGAGTTACAATCTTCTCAAGAACATTCTCGTTTCGTTTTTCTGGGACATCTTCAGTTTGACTGGGTCCTGGGTAGAACACTGGTACTATTGATACATAATCCTGAAATACCAAATATCCAGTTACATATAAACTTGCAAGGGTGGGTAGTAGCGAAGTACAATTTTCAAGGTAGCGAGTAGTTTTTGATTAATTTCTTAAAACTGTTATGCAGTAGTTGTAGCTGTAACCACAGTTTTTCAGTAGCAGTAGTTTATTACCGGGTTCGCACTGGTCAGGAAGAGTTAATTCAAGGACTTTTCAAGGATTTTCAAGGCCATATACCAGAAAATTCAAGAACTAAAGGCTGAAAAGGGGCGGTAGAAATCAGTAAAAAGTGACTTTAAACTGTTCAAATGCCAACTTTAATGAATTTCAAACAGCAGCCCTGGAAAAAAGTGGGATCTTGGGATCCTGAGGAACATTTGCCTTAGCAACAAGATTGAGGAACATTTTGAATTTTTCACGCGTACTTTAAGGGAGAATTATAAGGAATCATATTTACTTATCTGCCATTTGGGTCTATTTTGAGATTGCGAAGTGTTCTTCATATCCTGTTAATAGGCAATTCCGGCTTTTAAATTATGTGCGCAGAGGATGATGGGAAGTAAAGTATCATATTGCTGATTATCCTGAAAAATTTGAATAAAAACTGCCGAAACAGCCGAAATGTTTCAATATTTACAAGAATAAGCTTTCACTCCGTATTAACACGGTCGCCATTTTTATTTTTTCAGCATAATCAGCATGTCGCCATTTTTATTTTTTCAGCATAATCAGCACACAAAAACTAAAAGCTGGAATTGTCTATAGAATTTGAAGATTGTTTTGTTTCCTCAACAATTTTACAACCAATATAATTGAGGATTGAGGAACATTTGAAAAGGCAAATTCAGGATCCGAGGAACATTGAACACTTTTCCCAGGTCTGTCAAACAGCTTCAGCCTTAGTACTGTAAGACATGAACAAAATCAATTTACAAAATGTCCAATTCTTAATGCCAAACAATTTGAGAAAATATCCACTAAAGCAAGAACAATTTAAGGACTTTCAAGCACTTCTTTATAAACTCAAGGACTTTCAAGGCCTTTTACTGTATAACAGAAACATACTCGAATAGTATCATTTCGACTCTCTTAGATAGTACCATACATAAACTGACAAATCAAAACATACGTACCAGCAATAATTTGTCGGAGTCTGTGGTAAACTGGATGTCATAATGACGGTCCAACATGGCAAACTGTGTTGATGAGCCATTCTCTGCGACAACAACAAACTGACTGGTGACGTCAGAACCATTCACTGTTGGTTTAAATGTAACTCGACTTCTTTGTGTGACTCCTTTATTCCCGCCTACACGACGTACAACTACTTCACCAGTGGCATCTGTATCATCATTGAGCACGTAATGAAACACCATATGGTAGTTCTCTGGCCATTTTGCATTCACTCGCACTATCACAGATCGCTACAAAAGAGACAAATTATTACTGAAGGATTTTGTACATGGAAATTTCGAGGGTAAATTCTATACATTTATTAAAACCTAACCAGGAACACCTGTGGCCCTTCGATTCTGGTGCATAGATATCTTATATACACTAGATGTGCATCTAATTATTCTGTAATTCAAAAATTGAAGCCGTGATTGCAGACTCAGGATATTCCCATGAAATGAGAAGACTCGTATGTTTTCTATTTCTTAAACAGGGAACTTAAACATTAAGTTAAACCTATTGCAAATACATTTTCAAACTATTCAAATGATGAAAGTTATTGTTGTTTTTTAAGCGTTTATTAGCGAGTGGGAAACTCCAACATGGCCGCCATCTATTTAAGTGGGAGTAACCGCTGGAATATTCTTGGCTTCAATTTTACTAAAAGAGATGCGCTATCTAGTGTATATAAGATATCTATGATCCCTACCAACGAAAGCTTGTTCATATTCTTGACACAACCTACACTGCCACAGACAGTTTTCGGTATATAAGTCTTCTTAAGCTTCGCGTTATACGTCAAACGCCAGGCATAGAAAAATTTCACGGTATTAGGCAATAAAGGACTTGTCACACTATTGCGTATGAGAGAAACTTGTGAGAAGCGTATGGAAATTAATGAAATAATTTCCATACGCATAAAAATCCTTTGAAATGCTAGCGTATGAGTACCGTACATCTGGCGTACCTCTAGCGTATTCAGCGTGTGCTTAGAGTATGCTTATCGTTAAAAGCATACGTCCGATACGCACAAAATTTTTGAGCATGTTTAAAAAAATTTCTGCCTCGCCGTATGCCACCGTATGTCACCGAGCTTGAAATGTATACAACCTATGCCCTACGTACCCCTATAGCATTTGTCAGCGTTTTCCAGTGTATGAGTGCATATTTTTCAGACGCTGGCATGCGCTAGTACGATACGCAATAGTGTGACAGGGCCTTTAAAGAGTAAATGGGCTTGTTGTTTTAAAACTGAAATACGTAATTATTCTTTCGACGCAAGAAAGAAAATATGAAACGAAAACGATCAACGAAAATTTTGCCAAGAAAGTTGGAACGTGCCGTTTGCCGTTCCCGGAAACGTGAAGCTTAAACTTCGTAATAAATTTGCCCTCAATTTTAGATGGCATTTAACCGACCACCGAATGACCGCTCATTGACGTTTAAAGAAATTGCGACAGATGCTAGGATATCGTTAGATGAGGTAAATATGAACTATAAACTTTATGACCCTTTACTAAACCTTGATGTGTTTCACAGGAATGGAAAAAGTATCGGGCAGTATTTTGATTACCCAACCCTTGAGTTGTTTTGTTTTTCATTTACCCAACCTAAAACTCACTCAAAATTTTGTTTACCCAACCCTTTTCTCTTCGGTGCCCCCCCCCCTCGCCATAAATAATGACCGCTCCCTCATACTCACTAGTAAATTAGTTTGCCATGAGAGCATGGTATAGTGCATACAAAATAATCTGCTCTTAATAGGAATGTAAATTTTTCTACAGGTCGAGCTACTAGTTATGAAAGCGCTATCTATTGGATTAATTAAAGGTAAGCCCTACCTAACTAGCAAAAAATGGCGTAGCTTGTCTACATGTTTAATGGCTTTGCGTTATTTTCAGGCATCTCGAAGACCATTTTAGGTATATGAGCATTGTTATTTGAACATGCGAACATAATCAGTCGAGATTGTCGCCCGTATTCTAAAAGCCCACTCACACTCAATGAGTGGAGGTTCAATCTGAGCTTCTCTTCAGTGTCAATGCTGTTTTTGAATAACTGGAGGGTGAGTAGTCACATAGTAAGGTATGACACTAACCCTCCAGCTATTCAAAAACAGCAATGACACTCAAGGGAAGCTCAGATTGAATCTCCACTCATTGAGTGTGAGTGGGCTTTTAGAATACAGGCGTTAGTTGCGAAACTCGAAGCATTTATAATGAGCTGCATTCTAATATATTTTCTATTGCGATGACCTACTGCATCTGTGCACAAATCTTTTCGAGATTTTCTCATCTCGTAAGTTTTGTAAAATTTTCAAAAGTACGGATGACTCCAGTAAACGCTTTCTTTATTTTACCAACATTTTGAATACACCGTGTGTATAACTCCCTGCAACGTTTTCCTTGACAAGTTTACTTTCTCGTGTGTACGGTCAACAAGTTTTCCTTGACAAGTTTACTTTCTCGTGTGTACGGTCAACAAGTTTTCCTTTGACAAGTTTTGTGGCTTGTGTGCACGGAATGTTGTTAAACATTTATTTCACGTCAAGACCGCCATTTGTTTGCCAAAACCACAGAAGTATTTCTTGTACGAAAAACCAGTTTCATATTATTCTGACACTGGAATCGACCAACGAAAAATTCGTTGGCGCGAGCGGGATTTGAACTCGCATCTTCGGGTATCTAGACCGCCGCTCTACAATACCCATTGAGCTATCGAGTCAACGGGGATTGGTAGCGAGTCTTATCCAATGACTACTGTAGCTTTGCAGCGAGGCTCGGTGGCAAGGAAAAATTGTCATTTTTTTGCCCTACACACGAGCAAAGAAAAGTTTGGAAGGAAAACTGCCCATCTGTATGAGGCTTACGTCTTGATGAACAATTACACCCGTTTTCAAAATTACGCGACCAAGGACGAAAATGCTAGAGTTGACATATCAGTTTTATGTCATTCGATCACGAAGTTGAAACTTTGAGTTTCGCGGTTCCTTGTCGATGCATGTATATGCTTTGTATGCTTCATATAAACAGACTTACAATGATTTTCAAGATATTTTAGTGAGAATTATTGTAAAATTTAAGCACAACAAAATCATACATCACCGTTATAGTCTAGCGCGCGTGTTTTATACTGCCAGCTAAATTCCAGGATAAATTGTTATTTTCAAACTTTAAAAGTCATTCACGGCACATATTTCTGTTGTGATGGTTTGTATTGTGCTTTAGTTTGTATATCTAAGTTATCTGACTCATTTTTGTTCAGTTTTGGTATTAAATACGGTTTAAAATGTCTTTAGACAGTTTGTTTACGTTTGCTATTTTTAGCAGTTCTTGTGACATAAAACTGACATTTGAAGTAGGAGTATTTTTCAGGGAGGTCGCGTAATTTTGATAACGGGTGTAAACATGAAAAGTCGAAGCAAGACTTTGCAGACATATTACAGTATATAGGAAGTTGGTTGCATTACCTGCTATTTTCCTGGTCTAAGATGCTCGTGTTTTTTCTTCTCATTTGATTAGGGTCGATAAACGAGGTGAACAAGATGGTCCAGATTTCCTGGGTACAGCCGCGAGTTCTAGACAGAAAACAGGTACCATATTGTGAGCACTTGGTGTCGTATTGTGTGATGGTATCGTATGGTATTGTATGGTGTGATGTGGTATGGTATTGTATGGTGTGATATAGTGTGGTATGGTCACTATGGTGTAGTGGTATCGTGTGGTATGGTGCAGTATGGTGTGGTATGATATGGTGTAGTATGGTATGGTGTGGTGGTGTTGTGTGGTGGTATTGTGTGGTGGTGTGGTATGTTATGGCATAGTATGGCGTGATATGGTATGGTATGGTATAGTCTGATATGGTATGGTATAGTATGGTATGGTGGTATTGTGTGGTATGGTATGGTGTGATATGATATGGTTTGGTATGGTGTAGTTTAGCGTGGTATGACATAGTATAATGTGGTATGGTATGATATGATATTCAATACAGATAATCATTATTTAGATTTCCAGTATGAAAGATCGTTTATCAGAATGGTGTGAGAAGACAAAGAATACGACGTACATGGTTGAAGATCAAGTCCCAGAACTATTAATATAAACTACAGAATTGTACATAATACCTAAACATATTCCTAATGTCATTTTGTCTGTCAGTTTGTTTAATAAAACCGTTTAAAACATTCTTTGACTTGCCCCAGATGTTTATTTATATAGTTATTGGTTCCAGCCTTGTTACGAGCTTGATGACGGTAGCAGACTTGCTATACAAGTTGTTCCAACAAGACTAATACACACTGTTCTTAACAAGTTGCTACGAGCTTGTTGTCATCAACTTGTGACGTGCAGACGATATCAGACTTGTTGGAACAACTTGTTGCGAGTCTGTTGGCCTCATCAACCTTGTTACAAGATGATAACAACTTGTTCCAGACTTGGCAACAACTGGGAACAAGCAATGCGAACACATCTCGTTGACAGGCTGTGAGATTTGTACGGGTGTAAGCAGCGCGTACCTATTTTTTGCACCGTTTGTCAACGAGTTTTGATTAATGAAAATATTCAAGTAATTGTATACATATTCAGTTATGTCAACAAAGCCATATGTACGGTTGAAAGAAACCTAAATATATACAAACAAATGTACAATGCATTTGGCATTGTGGAAAATGTTTGTTATCATTAAATTATACACGTAGTAAAATTCATGGCCTAAGCCCTAAATCAACGCAAGTGAAATTCTATACACAACATTGTAAACTTTATTTATACTGATAGCTCTATCAGTTCTAAACTGTTCTTCCTAGAGGTCCGGTAAGGATCATCTCTTATTGATCCAGTGTTACTACAGGAGGAAACCTAAACTAAACTAACTTTATTTATACTGGATAGCTCTATCAGTTCTAAACTGTTCTTCCTAGAGGTCCGGTAAGGATCATCTCCTATTGATCCAGTGTTACTACAGGAGGAAACCTAAACTAAACTAACTTTATTTATACTGGGATAGCTCTATCAGTTCTAAACTGTTCTTCCTAGAGGATCATCTCTTATTGATCCAGTGTTACTACAGGAGGAAACCTAAACTAAACTAACTTTATTTATTCTGGACTTCTAGGGAGAACAGTTTAAAACTGATAGAGCTATCCGGTACAAATAGAGTTAGTTTAGTTTAGATTTCTTCTGTAGTAACACTTGATCAATATGAGATGATCCTTACTGGACCTCTAGGGAGAACAGTTTAGAATTGATAGAACTATCCAGTATAAATAAAGTTAGTTTAGTTTAGGTTTCCTCCTGTAGTAACACTGGATCAATAAGAGATGATCCTTACTAGACCTCTAGGAAGAACAGTTTAGAACTGATAGAGCTATCCAGTATAAATAAAGTTAGTTTAGTTTAGGTTTCCTCCTGTAGTAACACTGGATCAATAAGGGATCACTCTTACTTGTCCCTTATACTAGGAAGAACAGTTAAAACTGATAGAGTTATCCATGAGTACGAAATGAAATTGTATATTATCTTTGTTATGCAATAAATTTATTAGTCTCCGTAATAGAAGCGTGTCCATGCATCAATAAATTCTGTCCTGTAATTAAAACTCTTTGTTTGGCAATAAAATTAATCAACAACGCATACAAAAACATCTGTCACGCGATAATAATTCTAACAAAGACAGTGGACAATCGAGAAAAGAAAGACAAATTGCCCAAGACGCGTGTCGACGAGTGATTATAATTAAGAGCAAACAATCGTTATTTATTTTATAAGTGATTAATCAATGCTTTGGAATATTGTTGCTTTATACCGAACACGGTAACACGACTTTGTTGAACTTGACCGTTTGGGGCATTTGCGTTAATAGCGAGCTAGCAAGCGATCTTTTTCTTCCGAAAACTGGTATAGTAGAAGTAATTTCGAGGCATTTTGCATCATATCGCTCGTGTAAGGAAGCGAAAAACTTTAAAAGTCTTATGTTTTGTCATATGCGTTGAAGATTATCACAAATTGACAGAAACGCAGTTTTTAATGCAGTCCCCCCTTAGGCAATCTGACGTCCGTGGCCATAGTCTATATAAACAATTATGATTTATATCATATGAATTAAATAGATAGAATTAAAAAAAATAATTCTCATTTCCGATATCAAATTGTGTTTGAAAGTTATTTTGTGGAGACCTGCTTTATCTATCGTCATTTAGGCTACGTTTAAATTGTACCGGATCGGATAGCTTTCAGTGGCGATGTGAAAAAACAACTATCCGTTTGGAACGCTATTTGCAGAGGAATTATTGCCATGAAGAGATGTTGTTTCGCTCAGTTATGCCCCCTCTCCACCGTGGCATGTACAGGTTGTCTAGAAAAAGTCTGAGGCTTTTTCATACGTCAAATTTCGGTCGCGTCGAATGCAATTCAAACAATACATAATGAAGCTTAACTTAATGAGGTTTATCATCTCATTATCTATTAAGCCCCGTTTACACTACGCTCAATTTTTGGTACGGCACGGATAAAATTGGTACTCGTACTGTACCACTTTTTTGGTTCTTGGACCATCTAGCTTAGCCCCGTTTACACTACGCTCAATTTTTGGTACCGTACCACTTTTTGGTTCTTGGACTACCTAAATAGGTGGTCCAAGAACCAAAAAAGTGGTACGGGTACCAATTTTATCCGTGCCGTACCTAAAATTGAGCGTAGTGTAAACGGGGCTTTAGAGACCTTACGATTTTAGGACGGCAACGCGACAGCAACGGCTACCAATACAATAATATATCATTGAAAAGAATTGAGTAATTACAATATATGAATAATTTAGACATTGTCCTCGCTCTGTTTACAACGCTAAATCACAGATTTCCACGTCTTGATACAACGGCTGCATTCCAAGCCACAACAAGTGCAACTTCAAACTGGGTTTAGGAGAACTCTTCCCAACCATAAAACCCATGTCTTCAACTTCTAAAACTGTATTAAATTCATACGATTGATAATATACCACGAACTATCTTTACTACCATTTATTTGAAGAAGTTTGTTTTGGCCGTCAACGTCGCGTTGCCGTCCTAAAATCGTAAGGTATCTATTGTCTTAATTGCATTCGACGCGATCAAAATTCGACGTGCCTGCCACACACAAGAGAAACTTGCTAAGCTAACCGCTTCATGTGGCAGCTATAGCTCAACTATGTATTTTAACCGCACACTGGCACGTTGGGAAAACTACTCAACAACAATTAACATAAGTAACAAATTAATCATTTGCATTTTCCTCCGTTTTATTCCATGTCACAAGAAGAAAGCATGGTTTCTCATTGGCTAATTGATGCAAGCAGCTCAGCAGTAAGCTCGCAACATCCGCAGACGTTGAGATTTTTTCCTCGCGAGGTGAAAAATATCAAACACGATAGATATTTTCCTCAAGGCCTCGAGAGGTCAAATCCTCACGAGAACTATCTGCACACAAGAGAAACTTGCTGAGCTAGCTGCCACGCGAGGCGGTTAACTCAGCAAGTTGCTCTCCTGTGCGGCAGACTTTAGTCGTTTAAGCTTTCAATTAGAATTTTAACATGCTCGTACGATAACAACGCATTTTAAACTTCCAAGGTGTTTACAACAAAAGAGTGATTTCTAAAAGGTGACTTACACCCATAGATATCTTACATACACTAGATAGTGCATCTAATTATTCTGCAATTTAAAAATTGAAGCCGTGATTGCAGACTCAGTATATTCCCATGAAATGAGAAGACTCGTATGTTTTCTATTTCTTAAACAGGGAACTTAAACATTAAGTTAAACCTATTCCAAATACAATTTTAAACTATTCAAATGATGAAAGTTATTGCTGTTTTTTAAGCGTTTATATTAGCGAGTGGAAACTCCAACATGGCCGCCATCTATTCAAATGGGGTAACCGCTGGAATATTCTTGGCTTCCATTTTACTGAAAGAGATGCGCTATCTAGTGTATACAGCTATTTCAATTAAGGTTTGTCCACGAGCAAATCGGAAAAGTCGAATACGAGCGCGAAAGGCTGCTGGGAATCGCTATGAAAATTCATTCATCTTTTAGCGATTCCCAGCAAGCAGCCTTTCGCGCTCGTATTCGACTTTTCCAATTTGCTCGTGGACAACCTTAATTGAAATAGCTATATGCTTACAAATGAATGGCTTAGGCCCGTTTTATACGTCGAATTTTGGTCGCGTCGAATGCAATTAAGACAATAGATAATGGGATGATAAACCTCATTAAGCTCCATTATTTATTGTTTGAATTGCATTGGACGCGATCGAAATTCGACGTTCGCGGATTATGTCTAATATTGAAAATCAACGTACGCACAAGCGCGCCTATTTTTTGTACTTGCAATAAATGCTAATTACTAAGGCGCTAAGCATGCATGTAGCCTAATTGACTTATATAGTTAATAGCTCTCTGTGCACAATAGAATGTCTGTGTAAGCGTGGCATTCGCAACAGATGACAGCACTGAATTATGAAAAGAAAATTAACCCGGGGAAATTATGAATTAGTGTTATCAAACGGGCACAGCTTTCGAAATTCCCAACGAAATATATCTTCCATTACACAGGCATGCATGTATAAATGAGTTATCGGTTAATTCGTCAGAATGAGTTGTTCTATACTTGGGAAGTATTGCCCGTTTTCCACTTCGACCGTATCGTAACGTAACGGCATTTTCTTTTGTGGCAAAGTCTTTAGTTTCACTCTAGTGTCCACGAAACATAGAAATACACAGTTTAAGGGTCAAGAATAACACAGGGTTTATGATTTGGAAAAGTTCTACGACCCAATTTAATAATTAAACACTTGTCCAAGTTTGAAATATAAGCGTTGTATATACAACTGTGATAATCTGTATTTTGCCGTTGTAAAACAGAAAACGGCGACGTCTAAAACTTCTGTAGGATTTTAATTGTTAATTTCTGCTCATTTTCTTGCATTAATATATGATATCAATAGCCGTCCTAGTTGCACTGTTGTCCTGCCTGTTGACGTTCTTTAATAGTAGTAGTTCTTTATAATTTTAGAAGTGTAAAATTTAAACAGGTTTCTTATCACGTCCCCTAGATTAAGCTTTGCTTATACGTTCGCTATTAAATGTGATAAAAACAGTCTAGTATACAATACATGGATTGATCAGCTTAGTGCCTGGACAACAGCCTTAACCTACAATTTACAGTAAAAATGCAATGACAATGTCATATAACCATTCGGCCGTTGTCATTGAAGTCATATACTTTATTAAATATACAACGCTGTCTTACCTTTTGCCATAAAGCTATTACGCTTGAAACGATTGGTTCCAAACCTGCATGTTTGTTATTATACATGCACTTGAACATCAATGTATATTCGTATTATAATACCATATTACATATACTGTACAAGCCAGCGAATTTCGTCATTTGAGCGGCCATGTTTGTGTTGATACTCTGCAATGTGCTGTGCAATTAATAAGCGATATATTTGTCAATTACTCAGAGGTCATTCATTCAATAAAGCACTAAGGATGAGGCATGGATGGCATGGAAAACGGTAGGATTTTCGAAACAATGAGAAGACAGTGGAACATTCCGATCACTGGTTCGTGACAAGATACACACTATTGGCGTGTCAAGCTTTGTATATATAGAACACGCTTTGTTTTTTGTCTTGATCGAAAAGGACAAGCTTGATTTCTCATTTTCTCGTGGGTACAGTCAACAAGTTTTCCTTGACAAATTGTGTGTGCACGGAATGTTGTCAAACATTTATCTCACGTCGAGACTGCATTTTGTTCACCAAAACCACAGAAGTATTTTTTGTACACTTGTCAAGTTTTGGCCTTGACGGTCGTACACACGAACAAATTTTCCTTGTCCAAAAGCTCGCATGGTTTGAAACAAGGCAAGGAATTCGCGTTCGTATTATAACTGAAAGTGTTTTAAAATTTTAAGCCAAGCGGTAAATGTTTGTTTATTTATTAAATAATTTTATATTTACATTCGCAGTATGCACACACAGTGTCACTTGACTTCTAATACCCCGCGTTAAATATGCAAATCATTTGTACAACAGACACATGCTCGTCATTATTACTCACACATATCACAATTTTCAAACTAAGGCCTCAGTTACACGAACGGGATTCGCATCGGAGCGAGTCAAGCGACGTCAACTAAGACAGTTTTCGGCCTCTTACAACTTTTTATATTTGAAGTTTTTTACTAATTCTATTGTATTATCATAATTTTGAGTGCTAAACTCCCCTTGAAACTGTAAAATTTGATGTCGCTTCAATGCGAATCAGCTATCGTGTAACTGGGGTCTAAGTTTCTTTGCACAGATCGCTCAGGCCTACAGATTAATTTGTCCTTAAATTTGTACAATTGTTCAATTCCAATTCCACGCATTCCAAATATGATAGATTTGGATCATTTCAAGACGAAATGTAATATATCTTTATAGCTGTAAAATCCTCATCTTCAATCTTCATAACATGTTTTACTGAAGACTTATCACAATAGCTATTTTCACAGATCAATGATTGTTGTTTAATTTTCGGATTTGTCAAAGCTGTAATGGCGCTCGTGGTAGTATCCTGGCTTGACTGAAGAAAGCGTCTTCAAAATCTTTGTAATCTTGTCCGTGGTTTTCTTTCTTTGGCTGAAATGAAGTAGAATGGTTATTGGTGCATGAACAGCAATATTGTATCACATATTCAATGAGCGACCATAATTTTAGTCTCTGTTGGTTTCGTTGGTTATAAAAACTTTTGGTAAAGTGCCCAATGGAAAACCAGAGCATATTTAAATTAATTAAGGTACAAAAATCAACAAAATCCACTAGGCATCTTTATTACTAAATAGTTTCGTACCACAAAATGTGGCAGTCTTCAGATAAACCTTGTGTATATATATATATATATATATACACCTGATGATTCCTATACGGATGAAACAGACTGTTGTGGTTATTTGAGGTAAAACGAAAAACTATATTACGCTCTATCTATATGGTATTGAGCACTGTTTGTGTTTCGTAAACCAAAACCTTAAGCTATATATATATATATATATAT